AAACTACTGATGGTGCTGATAATTCATTCCATCAATATAATAAACAGAAAAACCAAAATCAAAAGCAAAAAAATAAAAGAAAAATAAATAAGAACCATAAATGTAAAGCGCATCTTTTACAGTACACAAAAAAAAAAACATGAACGTATTTTTAAAAATAAAAAAAAAAAATATTAAAAATAAATTTTTAAAAATAAAAATTCGAAATATGTCATATGCGAGTATATTTGTATGTAAAATACTACAAAGATACTACAATAATTATTACTTAACATACTACGAGTATTACGGTCAAAGGAATTCTTCTCCTTTTTCACATAACATATTTAAAACAGTTCACAATAGCAAAACAGAACAAAATCTTAAGACTTATATGAAATTTGTCTATTTATTAGCCACAACTACGAGTAAATATACATTACACCTACACACACATGCAAAAAAAAAAAGTATGACAATTTTGTCATCGTTATTGTCTTTATTGAGAAATAAATGAAAAGAACAAAACAACAATTTTTTTAAAATTTTAAAGCATTGAGAAAAAAATTTACTTTTTTTTTTAAGAAATTTTTCAAAAAATCAAAATGAAATTTACTACCACTATTATGTGGAATTTAGAAAAGAAAAAAAAATTAAAAAAAAAAAAATAAGGAAAATCTAAAAATACGAATTTTACCATTTCTCCTGATTTAATATTTTTTTCCTTTTGCTTTTCAACTACACTCTAACCGTCCATACTACAAAACATATCAACTCAAGAGCTCTTATGAACTAAGGAAATTTGGTTCGCGCTTCAGATCTGCGTCTGTTATTTTTTTTAGTTTTATGTTTATTAATTTTTTTTCTTCATTTTTGTTATTATTTTTTTTATTTTATTCTCCTCTCTGAACTGATTTTTTTAAGTAGATTTTTTTCCGAACTCTTTTTATACACAAAAATATTTTTTATTTTTATTTTTTTATAAAATGCGATTTTTCATAACCAAATAAAGTCAAAAAATTGTATTCAATGAAATTTACCCTATTTATGGTTACCATTACTATGGAAATTTATAAAAAGTATGTTTTTCCAAAAAAAAAAAAAAAAAATAAACGGAACCGAACAAAAACAAAAAAGAAAAATCTAAAAAAACAATGAAAGAAAATCAGAAATGAAAAAAATTTAAAGTTTAAAAAAGAAAAACCTATCATGAGAATTTAATGATGCATGAAACTACTCCAATTAATGACCTCAAAATTGAAAATCAAAAAAACGGCAAGAAATTAAATAAATAGAAATAAAATTTAAATATATATGTTGGTAAAATTGTATACTGCGTATATTCAAATATGTAAGTGTATGTGAGCAAAATATATGTAAAAATTAGTGCAGGTATGGTTTGTCATTTTTACAGTATAGCTTAAAGGTTTGTCTAGTATCTTACGATTTTACTTGCATTTTGATTTTTGGCATTTACACATAATTAGATACGTACTGTATTTGTATTTTGCTATATACATATATATATGTATATGTAAGTTACGCAGAGCACTAATTCCCATTTCCACTGTCAGCAACTGTAGAAAGAATTTAATAAATATTCTGTTCATCCCTTCATACTTATATAAATCGTTCAAATTATGTTACTACTCGAAATAGCCTTAATTGTTATAATTTTTGCTTATTTTCATGAAAATGAATTGAAACTCCGTTTTCTTATAAAAGTTTAAATAATTGCTCACATATACATAATAAACATACACATCTCATATTATACATACCAATTATACATTTAAAGTAAAAACATTTGTAAAAAAAGAATGGGAAGTTATTTTTAAGGTTCTTTTTAAGTCTGTAAAATCAAACTTAAATTTATAAATAATTTTTTATGAAAATTTTTATTTTTTTTTAATATTTTTAAAATTTATGGGCATCTAACTTATACATACTTATGTATATATATGAATGCGGACCTTACGTCAACTTCGATCTTATTCAACTATTCTGTTTTATTTACTGCACAAGTCAATTTGCCGTTAGATCTGCGTTTTTGTAGGCATCCCATGTATGTATGAAAATTTATTTATAGGACGAAATTAGGAAAACGTTTTGCTGAGACCTGTAGTCCTGGAAAAGCAATAAGAATTTGTGGTATATATTATATAGGAAATAGAATTTCATTCATATTTCTAAAACAGATACAATGAGTTGCATTCAAAAAGCCAACTAAAATTTTTATTAATGATTTAAAACACAATATTAGTAAACACAGAACCGAGCATTTACATTCGTAATAAATTTCTATAATTAAAACATAATATTCAGGACAATTTTCTTAATAAAATTTTTCTAAATTTCTCAAAACAATTTAAGGGTTTTTTAATATTTTCTTATAAAAAGAACGGTTTTCAAGATGCATTAGAGAGAAGAGGTTTCCGATAAAAATAAATTTTCAAATTTTTCTACCTTAGGTCTAAATTTAATTTAAATTTATTTATCAATTTTATCTTTTCTTCCCTTAATGGCCTAAAATATTAATGGGCTGAATTTCACATATAAAAATTTTTATATGCGCATAATATTTTTGTACTATTGAATGTTTTTAAAGTCTTGGAATAGATTTTTTAACTAATCATCTATTTTTTTTTTCTGTCGCGAAGGTGGGGCTATAATATTTCTTTTCAAATTGACAAAATTGCTGAGTGCTGGAAATATGCTGGATGCTGGAAATTTTGAAACTGATTTTGCTTATATCAATATAATTCGAGTACGGCTTTCAAAGTTAAAATTTTTTTTTATGTTAAAAAAACCATTTCAGGCTACTTGCCTTAATTGATCGTAATATTTTGTTAACCCAAAACTAATCTGAAATAATAAAATAATTAAAAATGATGAAGCAATGTCCCTTTTAATTTTTGTAATTTTTATGTGTACATAGAATTTTTTTATTAAATTGGAGAATTTAAAAGAAGTTCAATAAAATAAAAAATCTAAAATAATCGCTCACATAAAATCACCTCTTTAGAAAAATTTGATACGAGTTATTGAAATTTCTTAAATCATTTCTTCGCTTTAAGTCATTGAAACCTTGCTAAAAGTAGTATTTCTTTAGTATTCAAAATTTAATTTTTCTGACATAAATTTCAGGTAAAATGACTTTATAAGAGACAAACACATGTCCTATATCGTTAATGTTTTATGTTATCTGAAAAATTTTTGGAATTTTTAATTTATACCCTTGATAAAATTCAGTTTATCAGTTGCAAATTGCTGAATTGTGTATCAATGCAGTAATATTGAAATTCTGAGGTCACGGTTATACATATAACGTTCAAATTATTTTGGAAATTCTAATAAAAACATACCACAATTTCTAATTTGATATACCACAAAATTGTAAATTTAATTCTCAATGTCCCCTTTCTGCAGCCCTTTAATTAGTTAGTGTTGTTTCCAAGCAAAATTCAAATAAGAAACTTATGCAAATAATTTGCTATTATTATTGTCTTAGAAACTGGAGTTAATAAAATATAAGATTCTAAAAACGAGCCGCAGATCGCCATAATTATTTTAGAATTTTGTTTATTTACGTTTCTTTGACATGTTAAAAATTCAAAGGAATGCCTCGACTATAGCGTAAATGAGAATCAGAACGAACCTCTTGAAAGGAATAACTAATTTTACAACAAAAACCTTCCTAAAAACCGACTCTGTTCTTAGTATACCAACTTTTAAAATTAAAAAAAAAAAGCATAAAGGTCACAACAATTATTGTTTTTCTCTATTTGTTTGAATATTGCCTTATTTTATTATACTTGTGTTTTGTTATTTTTTTGTTTTTGTTTTTTAAAGAGGGGAAATTAATCAATCATTTTACAAAAGAATTTATTTATATTTGCTTCTAAATTAAGTGAACAATGCGAATTAAATCATCATCATCGTCTCATATGGGAAAAATTCTTTACATTGTAAAAATTGTAATGAGTAACTTAAAATAAAACAAAATTTATTATGAATGAAAAATCTATTTTTTTTTCTGTTTTTCAATTTTTTGAATTTTCCTCTCTTTATTTTTCTTCTTTTTTACGATCATATATGGTAACGATTGTGAAAAATGTGTACGAAACAAAGTCAGAACAAAAAGTTAAACAAAAAAAAAAAGTATAATAAAAAAATAATTTTCGCATATTATGCACGGTAACAGATTTTTCTCATTAGAACACACAAAATCATTTTCTTGAATCTTTTTAAAAAATTTGTTTAAAAAAAAAAGAATAACAAAACAAAAATTCCTTCTGATGTTTTTAACCCAATCCATGTATGGATGGGATAGCCAAAAACTTTAATGTATGTAGATTTTTTTCTTCTTTTTTTTTTTTAATTTCATAGTCAAAATTATTCAAACAAATTGGAATAGAGAAATTCCACTCCCGCGCAGACAAAATTTTATGATTTTCCTATTATTTAACTCCTTATACCGTTGTTCTTCTTTATTAAATTGTTGTACTTAATTACTAACACAATCACATTTATTCTTGTAAACACAAGAGATGCGATTTGCTTATTTTTTTAATGTTTTTCCACAATATTATTAAATTTTTTATTTGAAAATTGTATCTGTGTTTGTGGTTGAATTTTCATTTTACCTTTTATTTTTTTATTTTATTTTTTTTGCCTTATGAAATTATTAGTAAAAACAAAAAAAAGAAAATTAAAAATCTATTTTCGTTTTAAAAGTATGGAGAAATATTTATGTTAAACCGTTGTTTGCAAATACAAATTATAATTTTTCGTATATTCAAATAAAAAATATTAGAATATGATCTTCGTTTTTTACTTCGTGCTCCTCGATGAAAAATTTCAATGTATTTGTTTACATTTTATTCCCATAATTTATAATCATAATTTGAGAATTTTTTCTTTTTTTAGATGTGTTAGTTGTAAACGACGATGATGGAGGAGAAAATACGACGCCTTCATGAATTTTTATTTCGGGAAATCGGATTTTGGGAATTTTGAAAAAATACAAAAAAATACGAAGAGACTCGTCCGTATAAATAATAGAACAAACGAGAATTGTGGATCACTCGCAGTTCTACAGCGAAAGTGTTGCTTAGACTTTAGTTTCTTATTAACGGTTAGTTTAAAAAAAAATTAAAATAATTAAAAAAAAAAATTAATTTAATTAAAATATTTTGGAAAAATAAAATTGAAACCACTATTGTTTTTTTGGATACCAGTGAAAAAGAAAAAAAAAACAATAATCAGCAAATTAAGAAAAAAGGATTTCTATTTTTATTTTTTTTTTAATTCAACATTTTTTCCTACTTGAAATTTGAAGAATCATAAATAATGGAATAAAAAGTGCTTTTCTTTCTGTTTTTCAAAAATTAATTCCAAATTTTATCAAAAATATATTAAATTTTTTCTGAGTGCATAAAATTTATTTTTTCGCCGTCATAACGGTAGTTTCTATTTAATAAAATTTAAGAATAAAATATATACGTATTTTTTATTTAAAAATAGCACAATTCTCAATAAAATTTTTTTTTTTTTTAAATAAAATTGCCTAGATATTTTATAACAGAAAATTTAAATTAACAGCTGCAAAAGTTTCAAAATGGGATTACGGCAACTGGAACTTAAAATAAATGGATTACACTATGATCTTATAATTTATTACTGGAAAAACTTCAAAATATAATTAAATTAAAATCAAATATCGACATTCGGTTCTAAGAAATTAAAGTTCGAAAATTTTAGTATCAATGGTTTTAAACTTGAAAGTTTATTTTGAAACGAAAAAATTCAGAAAGCACATTTTTTGTCCTAATCAAATTTGCTGATTATTTTAGATAATTTTTTCACTGTATTTCATAATTATACAAAAATTAAGAAGAAAATAATTACAAGAACTGTGGGAAATTCGTTTTTTCTTTTACGTTATATCAAAAAATATTAGTAACGTATTTTGGAGCAATATAAATTATAGTATAATATCGGAGAATTCGGAAAATTCTATCTATTCAATAGCTATATTATATAATATTTTTAAAAAGATACTGAAAACGATCGAAAGGAGAAAACTTTTAGAAACTATCGGATTTTTAAATATCAATATCAATAACAATAACAAAGAAAATAAAAATATTTAAAGATTTTCATTCAAAAGTTCTGATTTAACGTATATTAAACGTATATTGTATTAATGTTTTCAAGTCGTTCAATTTTGCGTTACGTTACGTTATATTTCATATAGATCATTCAAAAAACGTTTCAGAAAATTTTTCTAGTGCAAAAAATTGAAATAACATAAAAATTTTTGTAAGAACGCCTAAAGAATCCAAAACGACAACATAAAGATTTTCTTATAATTTTTTTCTTCTTTTAATTCTTACGTAAATTTTAAAATTGTGTAACCACACCCGCGTTCTAAAAATAAATATTTCCAAAAATATAAATTTTAATGAAAATATCTACGCAGAGTTTTTCATAATTTTTCTAATTGACGAATTTCGTTCGTTTTTTATTTATTTTCATATTTATTGATGGACGTGCGTTATTCATTTAATGGCATTTTTCTTTCAAACATATGAAATTGTAATCTGACGTACAAAAATTACCAATTATTAGAGGAGTAAACAAATAAAAACTAATTCAACATGTGTGACGATGATGTTGCTGCTTTAGTCGTTGACAACGGTTCTGGTATGTGCAAGGCTGGTTTCGCTGGTGATGATGCACCACGTGCCGTCTTCCCATCCATTGTCGGTCGCCCAAGACATCAAGGTGTCATGGTCGGTATGGGTCAAAAAGATTCATATGTTGGTGATGAAGCTCAATCCAAAAGAGGTATCCTCACCTTAAAATACCCAATTGAACACGGTATCATCACCAATTGGGATGATATGGAAAAAATCTGGCATCACACTTTCTACAATGAATTGCGTGTCGCCCCAGAAGAACACCCAGTTCTTTTGACAGAGGCCCCATTGAATCCAAAAGCTAACCGTGAAAAGATGACACAAATTATGTTTGAAACATTCAACGCCCCAGCTATGTATGTTGCCATCCAAGCTGTACTCTCATTGTATGCTTCTGGTCGTACAACTGGTATTGTATTGGACTCTGGTGATGGTGTATCACACACAGTACCAATCTATGAAGGTTATGCTTTGCCACATGCCATCCTCCGTTTGGACTTGGCTGGTCGCGATTTGACCGATTACTTAATGAAGATCTTGACTGAACGTGGTTATTCATTCACAACCACAGCTGAACGTGAAATTGTCCGTGATATTAAAGAAAAATTGTGCTATGTTGCATTGGACTTCGAACAAGAAATGGCCACCGCCGCCGCTTCCACATCATTGGAAAAATCATATGAATTGCCTGATGGTCAAGTTATCACCATTGGTAATGAACGTTTCCGTTGCCCAGAATCATTATTCCAACCTTCATTCTTGGGTATGGAATCCTGTGGTATTCATGAAACCGTATACAATTCAATCATGAAGTGCGATGTCGATATCCGTAAGGACTTGTATGCTAACATTGTCATGTCTGGTGGCACCACAATGTACCCAGGTATTGCTGATCGTATGCAAAAGGAAATCACTGCTTTGGCTCCATCAACCATCAAAATCAAAATCATTGCCCCACCAGAACGTAAATACTCCGTATGGATCGGTGGTTCCATCTTGGCTTCATTGTCCACTTTCCAACAAATGTGGATCTCCAAACAAGAATACGACGAATCCGGCCCAGGCATTGTCCACCGCAAATGCTTCTAAGCATTTACTGCCTAACCTTCTTATATTTTTCTATTTTAATTTTTATTTAAAAATTTTAATTATAACAATTTATTATAAAATTATATAAAAAAAATAATTATGAGATTAAAAAAGATGAATTTTTAAGATACATAAATTTAATTTTCATTTCTTTAAAAAGATCTTTTTAGAAAAATGATCACCTTTTGTTTTGTATATAAAATTTTTAAAATAAAAACAAATTTATATTAAATTAAAAAAAGAGGTTATAGAATAATAATACAAAGTATATTTTATATTATAACAAACAATATTTATTAAGACTGTTATTTTTCCTATTTACCCCTTGCTTTCATAACAATATAAAGTGATCAAGAGAAAAACTGTTTCGAAAATATCAGCTGAAGAGAAATTGTTATTCATGTGAATTCTTTAAAATTTAACGATTTGATGGAAAAGATGTTGAGAAAAACTAAAAAATTCAATGAATTTTTATTCAAATACCAATCTTATGTGGGAAAGGGTTATAATATGCAAAATTTTTTAATATTTTCAGTAAATTTTCAGAACAAAAACTCTCTATTAACCTTTGAGTACTTGCGGTGATTCCAAAGCGGAAAACTCAAGAAACAAGCATTGTATGTATGCACAGAGAGAGATATCTACACATATAATCGATTTGTCAATGTAAAATTTTTCATAGGAATAAGAAAATTTAAAAATGATGAGTTTTGGAATTGGTATTTTAAGGAATGACCTAATTAAGCATAAAATTTTTAGAAATATGTTGATAGTTTTAAAAAATACGCAGTGTGTAACGTCACTTTTTATCTAAAATTAAAAATAATTTAAACGAAATTTTGATTGCTTGTTATTTTAGCAACTAAGCTTCTGGTTCTATTCGGGAATAACGAATTGAATAATTTTTATTTTTTTATTTTCTATTCTAATAAGAATTTGTAGATTTTTAAATGTTTTAAGAATTCAAATTCAATTGAAGAACGGAAATATCTAAATGGCACCTTTGGAATTTTTCATATTTCGAGAGCATCGAATCAACTAAATGAAATTTGATTCTTGCTCATTGTTCATTTTTCGTTGTAGATTATTTTGTTTATAACTCGGTGATGTTCGGTGTTTATACACACATAATATGTAATTTGTTTACTCAACTAGTGGTAAGTAATATTATTCTTTTAAGAAATTTATTTTTGGCAGTAGGTAAACCCACTCGAAGTTTATTAGAATTAGATAAACATACTTCTATGTACATATGTGTACATATGTTTAACAATTATTTAGGATATAGAAAAAAAACTAATATTTTATTCTCACAATTCCATATTTTTTCTGGATAAAATTTTTTTCATTTTTGATTCACATACAAATACAATATTTTTTTAATAGTATAGAAAAAATTACGTAAAATTCTTCTCAAATATTAAGATTAAATTAATGAAATTTTGTTTAAAAAAATTTTGCAATTTGAAGGGATAAGAAATAAAATATTTTTTTTGTAATTCATTTAAGCGCAAAAATTTATTGCATTTCATTTTTAATCATATATTTTTATTATTAATATAATATTTAGGAATGTTTTTTTTATTATTTTTAAATATTTTAGGTTTAAGTAGTTTATATAAAATAAGGCCAATGTTTACATAGTTCCTTTTATTTTTGATTACTTCAGTTTAATTATTTCTTTACAAAACTACCAAAATTAAATAAAAATTTCTCATTATCTTCATTCAACTATAGAGACTTGTTTAATACAATAATTAATTAAATTTATATAGAAATAAAATATTATTAAATATAATATTATGGATATTATATCTTAAGTACATAAAATACTGCTTATAGCTTTTTATTAAACGTATTGCAAATGGAAATGTACATGTTATATTCGCATTTTTATAAATTATTTATATATGTTATGTATATCAAAATATAGATACATACATATATTAAATTAAGTTAGAAATTAATTAAAAAAAAATTAGATAATTGTTTAAAGTTGAGTCGTTATAACAGATTTACGTAGTATTGTTGGTTCTTTGTTTTTAGGAGCTGCAACTACTTCTGATGATACCAACCATGGTGATAACATTTCACTTGAAGGATTAATATGATTTTTATTATTCTGAAATAAAATAATAATAGTTTGTATTGTTAATTGTGATAATAGTTTGATAGCAATTAAAAACATTGTTATTATCATTTTGTTTAAAGTGTAAAAGAATAAATCAGGCAAAAAAACTTGTTTTTTGCAAACTTTGTTCAACAAGTAAATTCAAATAATGTTTTCATTAAAGTCTATTAAGAAAATTGTAGATGACTCTTGCAAGAGAAAAAGATTTTTTATGATTTGATGATTTTCTGCCATCATAGAAACTTTAATGTACTAATTTCAATTTAAGAAGCAAAGTTAAATCAAGATATTTTGTATTTCTAGTAGCTATAAGACACAAGCTTGTTATATTAGTTCTGGTACGTTGAAAGTTTCGTTTGTACGTCTAAAAATAAGCAAAAGTGAATTGACACATAGAATGATTAAATAAAATTAAACAGACAAAATATAAGTGAACAGTTAAGTGTATAATGTTAATGTACAAAAGTGTAAGTATGTACGTAGAGATCTTGAAATCTTGACTAACAATAGAATAATAAAATGATAAAAATTATAAAAATAAACAAAAAAAAAGAAAAGAAAAATGGAGGAAAAAAGTAAAATTATGAAAAAAATATAAAAAAGTAAATAGACAAAAAGAAGTTTGAGAAAGTCCGATAATTAACAAAAAATTTAGACCGAAATCATCTTACCTTTTTCTCACAAACAACATCGTTATTGTTGCTAAAATTCTTAATATCTTTCTTTGCATTCACTTGGAGAATATCGTTATGTTTTTCATCATTATTATTTTTACTGATAGTATCTGTAGCTGTCGTGTTTAGGATTGTAGTTGATTTTGTCGATACTTTTGTAATGGCATCTAAATATGATGATGATAATGTATCTATTGTATCTAATGAACTAACTACATGTGAATTTGAAATTGTGGGTTGTTTTGATACAGGATTTAAATTATTGGATGTTGTAGTAACAGTTCCAACTGTTAGAGTTTTCGTAGATGTCGGTGTTGTTAATGTTATGGAGCTATTATTATTTATGTAATCGTTATGATTTATAATATTCGTACTGACGTTATTAACGTTATTTATAATATGGTCACTATTATTCATTGTAATAGAAGAAGTTGTAACATTGTTTGCTGTATTTTTGTTATTGTCATTACAATTTATTGTTGTTATTGAAGAAAGAATCGATGATTCTGTAGGCAATGACATTGGCGAGTTCAAAAATGGTTTCTGTTCAGATATATTCAAAGTTAGCTTGTCACCGCCCTTAAATTTCCATTGATGACGATCAATGCATAAACGGAAAATAAAAACAACAAAAAAACAAAAAACACAACACAAAAAATAACCAACAAGCGGTGCAATAGTTATGAAATGAATATTTTGGATAACATAAAATAAAAAATTGTTATTAATAAAAAAAACGTTAAAACTATAATGTATGTATGTGAATTAAAAAAATTAAAACGAACTATTTTTTTACATCTGTGTAATTAAATAACGTTACTTACAACTGATATATAGGTAGCATTAAGAGAATCTGGACCATCGCAGTTATTAATAATGCCAACTGATGGAAATATATTGGTCAACTTCGCATTGGCAGCAGTTTCTAATTCTTCTTCCACACGAGCTAAAATTTTTTTTTTGTTAGATAGTAAAATTATTATTTTATTACCTTTCTACTATTTTATTACCTTTCAATATATTACACTTTATTTGCCCTGGTGGCAATTGGGCCCCACCAATATTTGACAACTTCAGATTATTTGGTTTTTCAGAAGTTGATAAGCGCTTTAATGTTTCATTATTGTGTTCCATATCAGATGTTTTGTTCACAGTTACTCTAAAAATATATGACATTCATTTTTTTTCATTTATAGTTTTTTTAATATATTTTCTACCTGATACTGTTAGCATCATTTATAGCTTCATTTGCTAATACAGATGAAGATGGTTCTTTAACAATTGACTTGAGCAATGAATCTAATTGACTGTCTTTATCCGATAAACTACTTTTTATGCTGCAAAATAAAAGTATGATTACAATATGCTTAAAACTACTCTACGCTAACCAAATACAAAGTTAAAAAACTAAAAAACTTTAAAATATAACGATTGTTCTAATTTAATGAAATTGAAATATGAGATGCAAACTAAAAATACCTAAAGCCTGAACTAATAGATGATTTTCCAATAGAACTGCGATATGATTGTATTTTTAAAAATGGATTTGTTTCTTCGTTATTCTTAGCACAATTATAATCAGGCTCAAGTCTAAAAATATTGTTACGAACATTAGTTTGACTTACAAAAATTATTCACAATTATCGGTGTACTAACTTGACGAATAGCCCAGATTTTTCAGATGAATCTACTTTATTTATACCAATAAAATCATCATTACTTGATATTGATTTTCCAGATGAAATTGACGGGGTTAAACCACTTACTCTACTATTTAATGTATTGTATATAACTTCGGAAGCATCGTTTCCATTCACATTATTGTGAATTACAGTCTGTATTGAAGGTGATGGTGTTATTGAACAAATGGAATTGTTCTCTAATTGCGAGATAATTTGCGATGAGTTTGTTTTATCTTTTTCTGTAGTTGGTTGTTGCACTGTTATTAATGCATCAGCTGTAATTGAGTTATTTTTAGAATCTTGATTCTGTTGTTGCTTTTGCCTTTCACGTAGCAAATGGGATTGCCTACTAGCAAAACGTTGCGAAGGTCGTCTTTCAAATTGAACAGTACGCCGTGCACGACTGGTTGCAGTTGTTTGAAACTCCGTGCGACCGGAATAACGAAAACGAGATCCCATTCGGAAAAAATTTTGCCGAGCAGAAGGCCCTTTAACAGGTGCTCTTAAACGGAAAAAAGTATGATGCTCAACTGCGCACTTCCACAAATGCTTGCAGGCTTTTTCATTATACAATCGAAAAACAAAAGTATGTTCTTGTTCGCGACCTTCATCATCATCCTCTACAACAACCAAGGTTAATTTTTTCTTTTTAAAATTTAATTTGCTAATTTTTGGCCAAAAAAATAGTCCAATTTTTTGTTGCCCTTCAAATACCAAAATTCCTGTTGGTGTTAAACCTAAATGATATTCATTTCCATCTTTACCCTAAAATTTCAGAAAATTTAAAAAAAACAAAGCATTTTGCTAAAAAATATTTAGTACCATAACAGTATGCATGTCAACCCCATAACTATCTAGCCATTTCGCTTTGTTCAAGTAAGCAGCTTCAGCTTGCGCTGGAGTGCCAGAACAATTTTTATATTCTTCCAATACAGCTATTTCAAATTCCTCAGTTTGATTTGGAACAAAGCGAAATTCAGAAACAGTAGCAGCGGTATGAACATTCGGATCATAATCGCCTAGCTCAGCTACAAATTTTCAAATAACAAGTTACAAATTTATTGATATGTATATTCTATGCACTTACACTGTAATGCTAGGCCACATAGTTCTACAGCCTTTTCTTCAGGGCAGTCCAAACGACCATCTAATAAATCTTGTTTTAGTTGTAAAAAAAACAAATAGCGCGTCAATTCTTCTCGTAATGTGTTCGGCTCGGAAGAGTAAAATTTAACTCGTAAACGGAATGTATACGGAGGTCCAACTAGAACAAATTTGGAATATTCTTAAATGTTTAAGAGATTTTCTATTGTTTAAATAAAATATTTTAGGAACAATAAATTACTTTTAACTTGCTTTTTAATAGCTTTTGTTGGATCCAGCCAATGTTTGACATGATTTGCATCGGTAAATTGCAAACCAAAATAATCTTTTTCTGTTAAATCCAAGGCATAGAAAACTTGTTCGTACAGGTAACTTCCCATAGCCTTTTTCTAAAAAAAAAAAAAAAGAATATTTTTATTTCGAGGTTAAATTTTAAATACAGGTTTCGAAGCAAAATATAATTTTCAATAAAATAAACTTAACACTCAAATGTTTTTTTATAAATTTTAAATTTCGAGAAATATAATATATACCAATCATTAAAGCAAATTTTAAACAAATCTTAATCTTTTACCAAAAAATTTCTGTTACTAAACCATACCTACCTAAATAGCGCAATAATTATAATAAAATTATTATAATTTAGTAAATTTCGTGTATGTAATTATCAATGCGTGGAAACAACTATAATAACGAAAATTTCGTCAATCAATTACACAAACAACTGATTAACTGGGCATATTTACTTTTTTTGTTTTCGTCAACAATTTGGGTCACATATTGTCTAGTAAAAATTGAAGCTACTTAATCATGTATCGACTTACTTTCTAGTTAAGTAGATACATAAATAAATATATATATATATACATGAATATATGTAATATATATGTATATGCTATGCATGCACTTATGCAAATATAGTATTCAACTATGTATGCCTATATAAGTAATAAATTACAATTGGAACCAAAAGAAAATTAGCTTCTTATAATTTACATCAATATAATTTCAATTTTTAAATGCATAGAATAGCGAATAAATAAACATATAAATTGTAAAATGTGATACCAAACTTTTACTGTTAAACTAAAGTAGGAAATCAATACATTTACTTGAATGCTCCTAATTTGGAGTATATTAACGGAAGTTAAAATATAGGCAGATATCAAATTAATTTTGCCAGTTTTATAATAATGCCCATCTTCATTTTTCTTCTATTTTTCCAAAACAAAAATTCGATGTACACTCTATATATAAACATATTTTACTTAGTTATATTAATTTAAATTATCTACTTACAGATAACTCAACAGAAAGATCTGTATTGTCCAATAATATAACACGACAATCAATTTTATTCTTATTTGCAACAATTCTTTGCGATTTAATTTGGCTGCTGCCATCGTTAACGTTATTTGTAACTTTTCGTCTACTTAAAAATCTTAACATTATGTTATCTTAAATTATTCATAAAAAATTTGCTTATTATTAAGAACTTTTAATAAATTTAAAAACAAAAAAATATTTAAGGCACAGCTGTTGCACTGGAAATCACATTATTTTCTTGATCGTTGTATATGCTTATATAATAATTTATTAACAGTTTCGGTAAATTATAATTTCTTATTTAATACTTCTAAAAAATTTTATTTAAAAATTAATATTTCTATAAAATAATCGCAAATTAAAATTTGGACGCGAGTTTCTACGTACACAAGAGAAAAAAAAATGGCGAACTATCATCTTCACTGTTTTGACGTTTTTCAGGTAATTCAAAAAGGTAGCGTTTTTGATTACAAAATAATGCCTGTTGGACATGAACGACCTTGTTTATGTGTATTTTCTTTCTTGAAGAATGATTCATATTCCCTTTAACTGAAGGGTTCTACTTTCTAGAATAAAATCTGACAGCAAATCTGATAAGAATGGAGAACTTTTATAATTTGCCGTCAAACAAATTCTGATGCCAAGCAGTGTATACGTACGACGTTCGTTTGATTCAGATTAAGGGATGTCAAAATGAAAAATTCTAATACGTTCCGAGGGCGCGTAGCTCATTTAGGCCAAAAAGTACGGGTTTCAGAACATTTTAATATAAACATTACGCGCCCGTTTATATTCATCCCAAAATATTAGATTTTGTCGTGAATATAAATGATAACTAACAAAACAAATTATAGTTCTTCCTCACCAGCTGTCAATTACGTACTATATTTATTTATATGGTGGAGTTAACAACTTGTGTTCGTTTTAATGATGAGACTGCGTAGACCGGGCATGAAAGAAAAAACTATCAGTTTGCAAAATCTCTTCATCTTCATTAAACTTTGGGTCAAACTTTCGGAAATTCTCTAAAATATTTACTTTCGATACAAACTGTTTGTTTTATTTCAACTTACATTAAAAAACAATAGCTTTATCTCAGTTTAAAATTTTGACACTATATTATTATATTCTTTCAAGGAATCTGCTTTAATAGTTTCATTCAAAATTTTTGTGTTAAAGCGTAACGTGCTCGTTCGTGTTACAACTGATAGTAGCTTTTGTATTTTTTCTATACTTGCCTTAACTGAGCACAACTACACTATTTTAAACAAATGCGTAGAGGAATTAAAGATGTACTGGTACCTTTTCCTTTCGGTAGACGCCAATAGTATTTTTAATTTCTTAATCTCAAACAGATGGATCTTGTACTTTCAGAGTTATTTTGGCATTTAATTATAATATGTATTTAAAATATCTTTTATAAATTGTTTGAACAATAATAAAAAAAGCTATATGAAAAATAAAATAGTTATACCAAAAAATTAAGGTTATGTTTTTTACTCTTATATCGTTCCATTTACGTTCGTTCCATTTACAAATTACGTCAATAAACTTGTGAGTAATTTGAACACATAAATGGAACGCAAATAATATGCAGTACTTGGAAAACGTAACTTCTGTGTTATACTGTGAAGTAGTTGAACAAAACTAAAATGCCTTATTTGAAACCAGTGACGTTTTTTTATAAAAGATATTCGTCAAATACAGTAGTGCTGCAGTTTTTTGACATTTCGAAAAGGGACTACGATTTAGAATTTTTATTTTTAAAAAAGTAAATTCACTGTAATTATTTAGATAAACCGCTGAATCATAAGTAAGTATTTTAAAAGTATACCAAAAATAATTGTGTTACATTCATTTTTTCATAAGTAAAAATTTATGTAAAAATTTTTGTTTTAATTTGTTTCATAGAAAATAAATATCTACAAAACTGATAACATTTATACATAATTACTTAGTACCTACGCCTACAAAAAATTTTGTTTTTCAGATATTCAGAAATAAACATGGAAGAAAATAAAAATCAATTTTCAAATATCGATATTAACAAAGAAGAGCCTGAGGAACAAGATGAATATGCTGGCATGGATGTTATATCCGCTGATTCTGGTGATCATTTTATTGCTATAACAGTATCCGAACCACAAAAAATCGGTGAAGGAATAAGTTCTTATTTAGCTTATACTATTTACACAAAAACAAACATTCCGCAATATACATTGACAAATTCTGAAACACAAAAAAGATTTAGTGATTTTTTAGCTTTACATGCATTATTGACTTCTAGATATTTAAGAGCTGGAAGAATTATTCCATCAGTTCCATCAAAGAATTTAATTGGAACTACAAAAGTGAAAATGAGTCCACAGCAAAGTGATTCTAATTCAGGTTCAGGCATGGAATGGATTGAAATAAGAAGAGCTGCCTTAGAAAGATTTCTAAACCGCACAGCCCAACATAGAGTTCTCAGAGTTGACCCAGATTTCATTAATTTTCTACAGACTGATAAAGAACTGCCTGGGGCAATAAATACATCTACATTGAGTGGGGCAGGAGTTATGCGTCTTTTTAATAAGTTTGGAGAAACTGTAAATAAAATTACTTATAAAATGGATGAAAATGATCCTTGGTTTGATGACAAAATAACTGAAATTGAAAGTTTCGATGCGTGCATTCAACATTTACATTCAACAATAAAATCGCTTGTAAATAATAGAAAAGAATTAGCTTTGTTTACAGGTCTGGTTTCCAAAGCTGCTGCCTTATTAAGTACATGCGAAGAGCATACAGGTCTATCAAGAGCTTTGTCAAGTCTTGCCGATATTGAAGAAAAAATTGAAATTTTACGGTCTGAACAATCCAATTCAGATTTTTTTATTTTGGCTGAATATTTAAAAGAATACATTGGTTTGTTTGATGCTATTAAAGCTGTATTTCATGAACGAGTTAAAGTGTTTCAAAATTGGCAACACGCACAAATGCAATTAACAAAACGTCGTGAAACGAAATCAAAACTCGAAGTTTCTGGGAAAAACGATCGATCAGATCAAATGCAAAAAGAAATTGAGGAATGGGAAGTTAAAGTACAACGTTGTCAACAAGAATTTGATGAAATTTCAGCAGTAATAAAAGAGGAATTGAATAACTTTAATCGAATTCGTGTTGATGATTTTAAGGCCGTTATAAAGAAGTACTTTGAAAATCAAATGGCTCATCAACAACAGCTAGTTAAATATTGGGAAGCTTTTATACCAGCTACAAAAGAAATTTTTTGAATATACTTATATGTTTTTTCTATTAAAAAAGTATTTTCCATTATACATACATCATTTATTAAATTGATCATAATTTACTTATAATATGTTATATTTTTATTAAATATATATTTACAAATATATATATATATATATATATATATATATACATATGAAGACCAAAGTTTTGTTACTGATTTAATAAATAATATTAGATTTCATTGAGAGTTAAAAAATACTGAAAACGGTGTAAGTGGGAAAAATCTTAAATGGACACAACCTGGAAAAAATAAAAGATTATTTCCTCTAGGCAAATGAAACTCCTATCATTTGTTTAAATTTTTATTTACTAAACTTCTAATAATTTTTTTATTTTCAACTATATACATTATTTTCACATTTTTTATATTACTTCTTTAATTTTGAATTTTTCTTGATTAAAATTTATTATTAATATAATAAAATTATGGAATTCAAATTCATAATCTATCTAATTGTTCCTTTTTATTATTCAAAATATAAAAAATGGCCCATTTTTTAAATAATGATGAGTTTCATACACAAAATAAAATTGAAATTCCATAAAAATAAACATTGTTATTAAATAAAAAGAACTTAACGTTAATAAGATCAATCAGGAAAAAAATTGAATTTTTGAAAACCATTTAATGTACTCTATGATTTGTTATTTTGTACTTAAATGGAAAATGTGTACTTGAAAATGAAAAATACATACATCCTAGCGTACTTAAGTAAGAGACTTTATTTTATTTGAAAAATTTTGATAATGGCAAAAAATATTTAGAAGGTCGATGTGTTCAAAGTTTCTAAATTATTTGCGAATTTAATTACGTATTTCTTTGTTCGTTTTTTAGAAATTGTGGTATGAAGCTGTACAATTTAGAATAATGTATTATATCATAAGAATTAATATTGAAGTTTTTTTATATCTTATTTCATAATATCAATGTACGCATGTGATAATTTTTGAATTTAGATTAAGATCATTTTTAATGTATTTAGAAGAAAAAATGAAAAGTAGGTAAAGAAGTGAATCAATGACGGAATTTCAATCAAAACGTAATTTAAATATTCTCTTAAAAGTAATTATAACTTCATATTTAAAAAGGTACTAGACTATTTTCTTATATTAATTAATATTAAAAAACCAAATTACTTTATGTTCAAACTATTTAAAAAAAGACAATTTCAAAAAACTCTTAAGGTTACCAAGCTTTTTTAATTGGAAATTTTATTTCTACTATTTTAATTATTTTCTGAACTTTTAATTGGTCACTTGAAATATTAATTTTTTATTGCAATGTAATAAAACTTACGTTCCATCATTTTGCAATAATTGTAATACAAATTTTTTAAATTAAAATGTGTTTAAATTGTTTGGGAAGTAAACTCCAATAGCATTTCATCTAAATTCCATTTAGTAATTAATTAATTTACTTTTTTGTTTTTAATTTTGTATTTGCATATTGAATGTTTATATAAATTGATTACAAAATTTTTTTAATTATAATATTTTTAATGTTTAATTTTTTTTTCTTTTATAAAATAAGTAGTTCTGCAAAATCAAAAGTTCAGAAATGAAAATATTTTTACAATATGCAGATGAGTAAATTTTTATTTTCTATTACACAATGTATTTTAAAGCTAATTGCTAATTTTCATAAAATGTAGCGATGTCCACAATACAATATTATTTGATCTATTATCAAATAAATATCATATTGTCAGTCTATCACTCGATCGGCCATTATATTTATTGATCAGTGTAATATGTATGTACATATATTGTATTTATGCATCTCCTTAAAATTTCTCTTATATATGAATAAGTAAATTAATTTTCATATTTTTTTATGGAAATGTACATAATTATGTTTTGTGTGGGTTTTGACTTTCTTAGTAATACTTGTTTTGTATTGTTGATAAGCACATGGCAGTGAACATTTACGTTGCACATACTTATTGCAATATTTTTATAATTAAATCTTTTTGTTCTGACACTTTTATGTTTATATTTATGTATGGTATTTTAAGTCAAATTTTGTCCTATACTTTGGCAAATTATGCAATATTAATAATATATTCAAACACGATCTTAACTCTTTTTTTGCTATTCCAATAACGATACTAATTGAATTAATTAACTAAAAGACTTTGGAATAAGATGAATTATAACATGTTAAATATAATGTATAATGCTCGAAATTCGCCAAATTTCTTTTTCGATCCGAGAATAGTTCTTAAAATATAAAATTATTTATGTATTAAACCTGCTATTATTTTATTATATAAATAATTATTTAAATTTTTTATGTATAAGAAAACGAAATTAATACCATTAACATTTTTGTATTTATATCTGTATTTAATTGTTCGCCATTAGTTTGAAAACAAATCAAATTTTTATTTTAATATGCAGTGCAGGCACCCTACCCTGCCTTTTGTGCGATCTTTCTGCAATGCAGTACTAAATTTAAGTAGACTATTCAATTATTTTGCATAACTGCCATAGTATTATATACCCAAAAATAATGTTCTTTACTATTTTTCTCTTAGAAATTAAACAGCAAAAAAACGTTTTATGACTGCTTAAATTAAGAATTTGTTAAATTCTGTGATTGTTTTAATAATTGATTAAAAAAAAATCCAAAAAATTAATTTTGGCACTTATTGGTTTCAATGTAAAATATATAATTTAGCAATTCTAGTTAATAAACTTTGTAAAAGTTAATTTTAACTAATTGTTTTATCTATATAAAAGTCTAATATAATAACAAATATTTATAAATATAAGTACATATTTATTTAATTTTAGTGAACACAAACTTTCATATGTATATTGTTCGCTTATTTAAGGTATTTTTTTTTTTCAAATAATTAAATATATATTTCTCTTTTTTCTGTTTTTTTTTGCTTTTTTTCTCAAGAAAAAATTTTTGATAGCGTTTACAAAATAAAGCAAACACAAAATTTAACAATTTCTTATTATTGGAGAAAAAAATCAGTTTTGCTAAATAAAAATAATGAAAGATAAATCTCAGAGTCTTATTATATGTTGAAAATTAAAAAAAAACCTCACCTCAGTTAATTTGTTTTAAAATATATTAATTCGTTTTATGTACTGTAACACTAACATAACTCAAAATTTGTGCATTTGAGAAGATCTAATTTTAAAATTTTTGAGTTAATATATTCTTCTAGGTTCTAGACTCTAGAGTTATTTTATAGTTTATTGTATAAGTGACAATTTGCAAGACACAGAATTGACATTTTTGCACAAAAGAGAAAGGCTTTAAGTGTTTATTTCTGTATAAATAACTAGGAAATTGTTTTTTTTTTTTGAGATACTTCACTGTTGCAAGAAACGAACGATATGTGCATAATATTTTTATATGCATATACATCAAGTATATTAAGAGTATATAAGTAGTTATAAAAAAAGATCATAAAATACGTATTTCAAATACATAAATAAAATTTTGTTAAACTTGTCAAAGATTTTCTTACGCCAAATAAATGTTGACATATGTATGTTGTGAGTAACAAATCCTTTTTTTATCTTGGAATCTACATTTAAGAATAATTACAAAAACCTTTAGTTTTTCAAGAAGATCTTTTTGGCTTTTTAATAAATTTTTTTTTTGTTTTTAAATGAATAAGAAGCAAGACTCTGAGGGTTTCTACTAATTGTCGTCCTAATATCTTATATTTTTTCTGATATTTATTTATTAAAAAAACAACTTTTATATTATGATATTTATATTGAATTGTTTTATAATCTAATTGACCCTTAAAAATTTACTCAAAATTATAAAAGAAAAAGAATATTATTTGTATCCCCTTTTATAAGTTCAAAAAATCTGAAAGGTTTTTAAAAAAAATTTTTTTGTTATGAAATGTTTATCCTAAGTATCAAATAAATTTTAAAAATAATTCCATTATTTTTATTTTTGTTATAACTATGTATGTCCATATTATTTTTATATTGTTGTTAATCAGAAAATTTAAGTACATAATTAAATATGTGAATTTTAAAAAAATATTTGATTTATATTTTTATACAAACTATTAAAGTACCTTAAAAAATAATTCTTTTTCATATTACATATAGAGTTATAGGGAAGTATTGTTAAAGATATATATACATACACGCCTACATTGTATGTATATATTTAACTATATAATAATTAAATTGTGCCAAATTGTTTTGCTAATGTAATTAAAATTTTGAAAATCTATTAAATTTATTTTTTCTATTCAAATAATTATTATATTTATAGTAGTAGATAAAATTATATTAAGTATAATAATTTAAAACGCTTTCTAAAGGTATTCAAATGCTGTTTACATTACTTAACTGGTACTATAGGGTAATAAAATTCATTTTTTTTTGTTCTTGCATGTAATAGTTCCTAATAAATATATAGTTATAAAATTATTTGAGCTAAATTTACAAACTCATTACAATACTATCTTTTTGGAAAAAAAAATATTGTACATAGTACATTCAAGGATCATTTTATAGTTTTATAATGAGGAATTATGCAGAAAAGATTCTATCCAACATGAAAAAAGTTACCAACAAAGAGTATTTAGTTAACATTAAAAAATGTTCATTTGGTTGTAAGATACTAAGAAAAAGATATTACCCTTGAATTGTTTAATTCTTTTCACATATTTTTCTAATTTGGTCAAACTATGTTGGATAGATCATTTTCTCCGTAAAGTCTCGATACAAATAAAGCTTTATAACACGTATGTATATAATATAGATGATCATGTATCCGTAATTAAATTTTATTTACGTTTATTTATAATTTCATTGAATAATTATGTTTTCATTTTTGGTTTTTATAGTAATTCCGAAATTCGAAGATATATCTATGTAACTCAACATAAATTATTAAAATAAGTGTAGATCTATATAAAATTGTAATAAGATTTTGTTAAATAATTTGTTAGGTATTTTGGTAACTCAAATAAATTATATAGTTAGGTATTATTATAATTTTATGCAATACTTTAGCATAATAGTTAAAGTATCTAAAAAAATTAAAAGCTATATATATATATTTTTTTACATTTATACTTTTACCATAAATTTGTTTTGGCTAACCTATAGTTAAGTGTATGAATTTCAAGTGTTTTTTTTTTATTTTGTAGACACTATTTTGTAGATATATCAGTGAAATTCTCAGATTTTACCTTTTTGCTCTGTTTAAATGTATATATAAATATTTTAATTGTAAATCATATACATACAATTAATTAGTCTATACTTTCAAATAATGTTAAGTAAAAACGCAATATCACCCAATAAAATTTATCTATTTTTTGTTTATTTTTAATAATTTTTTTTAGTAAATTTTATATTTGTTTTATTACGTGTAAATTATAATTGAACGATTTATTTTGAAAGTGTTCTAAGTCCATTTCAAATAAATATGAAATATATTGCTGAGTTTAGGTTCAAAGTAACAAAATATTCGGTTAAATGTTAATTTCCTTCATAAAATATTTATTTTTCGTCTCAGTTCAAACTATAGACATCATGATTGTTTTGCAAATAAAAGAGTTTTGAAATTGCAAATGAACTTTGATCACTTTTAAAATAAACCATTTAATCCGTCCGTCAGTATGATTTTATTCGAATTGTTTAAATCCATATATGTATGTACATGAAAATTTATTAATTATATGAAAATATTTATATTTTTTATGCTTTTATTTCTAAGTTTTAATAAAACTTTTATATAAGATTTTTGAAATCTTTTCAAATAAAAGCCTTTTTTATGTCCAGTTTCTTTTTTTTTTTTGGTTTTTTGGTTTTTTTGATTTCTTATTTTTCATTGTCATAATTTATAATATATATATACATATATATATGTACATATAATATACCTATATTATGTTTTTTCATTACATTTTATAATAAATTATTTTTGTCAATAAATTTAAATTTTTTTACTAATATTAAATATTATGGACTAGATACGAAAAGATAAGAGCGACAAATTTCTTTTTAATAAAGTTTTTTCTGGTCGAATACGATCTAAACAATCGCTACTACTTGTAATTGCTGAGTCTATTGGAAATTCTTTCAGTTGCATAACTTCTGTTGGTAGCAAATGACCTATGTGACTTGGTGAACGTCTTACTTTGTATTGATGCCTGAAATTATATATATGTATGCATTTAATTAATATTTAATATAATTTTTAAAAATTAAAAAAAAAAAGAACACAACACGAATATTTAATTTTAATTGTAATATACAAAAAATATGCTATTAACATAAAAAATATTTTTCATGCAAAAAAAAAAAAAATTAGAAAAGATTATTACAAAATTTTATGTTCAGTGCAATAAGATGTAGGTTCAAAGGAAGCAGATTTCAATTTATTAAATTGTATTTTTTAAAAACTATGATCACGATAAATCAATAATTATTTTGGCAATGAAGTTTAGACCTTATTGCACTGCATTAAATTTTAATATTCTACTTAATGTCGCATAAAAAACCAATAAGCCTTTGTAGACTCTAAATGAAATTTGAAGAATCCTTAAAAATAAGTTTATTACTGTTTTTTTTCTCGGTCTCTATAAATGATCAATGCATTTCGAATAATCAAATTCTATACTATTCTAATAAAATTGTATTTAAGTTGATTAATAATGGTTTATATTATTTTAGAACACAAGAAAAATTTATTTTTATTTCGTTGTTTAAATTGGTGTTATTTAAAGATTTTATTAACATAGAATAATAGTTTCATACACAAAGTTATTCCGTAAAGAAAACCATATTTTTAGAGAATCAAAACAGGAAAAAACTATTGTTTAGAAATATGTGTCAAACTCAATGCACCAAGATTTAAGGATTTTGTGAAAATTTTTAAAATTATTAGCTACAACCAAGATTATTATGAAATCAAAATTTTGTTCACTATTATAATAGATTTCTTTAAAGTTTAAACAATTCTTTCAGTATGAAAGCATGATTATTTGCTAGAAGAAATTTGTAATTTTAAATTTTTCGAATTCATAACGAAATTTTCCATACTAATTAGTCATGCATACTATAATATTACATATAAAGTAAAAATTTGATCCTATAACCATAATTAATACTGTCTTAAGAATATAAGATTCTTAGGAATATAAAATTTAATAAGATGATAAAAAATATTTTCTTTTAAGTGTATAAAATTTTAATTTTTGACTATACCTGATCACTTGTTTTTGTTATCTAATGATATTAAATAAATGATAATTTAATTTTATTTTCTTTAAATATTATATTTTCAACAGTGACATAACTCAACCAATACGATTTGTGAGTTATTTATACAGAAATAAAAATTTTGAGCACTTATACAACATTTCATTTTTTTTGCAAATTTCATACCTTGAAAATAGCATAGCGCAAGAATTTAACTCAAAAATTTTAAGTGCAAATTCTGAGTGATATCATTGTTGCATCTTGCATTAAAGAAGCGATATGTACTATTTCGATAGCTAATATTTAAATATTTAAATGAAATCGATTTGTAAATTTAAGTATTATTTAATTTTCTAAATAAATGAGATTTCGCTAACTCAAAATTTAAGTCGTTTGAAATTAACTCAAAATTTAATTGTTAATGCCTCTCTCAAGTTATTCGAAAAATGTTGTTCGGGGGAAAATCATTTGTAAATTAGTATATTATTAGAATTTAAATTAACTTATTTGTGATTATTGCAATTATACAATATTTGTATATTTTTCAAAAATTTGTTAAAAAATTAAAACTACGCAAAATATAATTATTCTGAAAATCTTTTTAATTTTTTTTGTCATAGTTTTATATAAAAGCTTTATTTTGAAATTTTATTCCTAATCTTTTAACTTCTTTCTAAATTGGATTTTGAAATGTGAATAAGTTTTGTTAGAGAATGATTTTTTAATCCAATGTTATAATGTAGAGATGAAAAAGAATTACAATGTTGCCCAAAAAAAATTTAGTGTGTGCTATCTACTTATTTAGAAATAATTAGTAAAATAAATAATTATTTGGAAATTGTATATATATTTGAACTAGCATTAATAAACTACACAGTTAATAAATTTTTTTGAACATTAATAAAACATAACTAAATTGCATAAAAAAGAATTATTTTTTTTTTTACAAAGTATCTCAGTTTTTTTAATTTTTTTGTGCATAACTCTATAAAAAGATCATTTCAAAAACTGTAAAAGACAAAAATTTTAAGTAAGTAATTTGAAAGAAAACTAAAATACTTTACCTAAATCATTTTGATTTGTTAAAATAGTTAATAATTAATTTTGAATTGGTTTTAAATTCATAATTTTTGTTTTATCGTTTTTTCTTGTCTTTTTCTTGTTTTTTTTTTTATACACATATATTTTGCAAACTTTATTTTATTTTATAAAACAAGTCCATCCTTTTTATGTAAAATTCGCTTAAACGAGATTCTCTTTACGATGATTTTTTTTACTTTAAACTGCTCCCCATTCTTTCATTTGCAATAAACTTAAAAATAAATTGATTTTTATATATAAGAGTTAAAATATTATTAATTTTTTTTTTTTTAATTAATATAAGTAATTATTTCAATTGAAAATTAAAAAAAGGAAATATTATAAATATTACAATATTTGATTTTTATTTTCCAATAAATTACACACTATTATGTAAATTTTTAAAATAAAAAAACGGGTAGTTTAAAAAATGATATTTAGAATTTTATATATAGTATATTTAAAAGATGATTGAATATTCACTAATTGATAGTAAAATAATTTGTGTATGAAACATATGAATTGTTATCCATTATCAACTTGTGAATATCATGAAATGCTTTTGAGAATAACTTATAAGTAAAATTTGATTATTATAATTGTTTTATAAAATACATGCATGTCATATAAGAAAAATATTAATTAATTTAAAATTTTTAATAATTACTATCATATATTGATATATAATTAACCCTGTTTTAATAAGAGGCCAAATTCAATTTATTTGATATTAATTTCCCGGTCTTTATTCACAGATAAAATGTGTAATTTAATTATTCAATATTTATTCTATATTCGTATATTTGTATCAAACTGAATTTACCATTGTGAATAAAAAAATATGTTCTCTTTTGTGAATATTTTGAAAAAAAAAATGGAATTCAATGCTAAAATTTCGTTCTCGATTAAGAAAGAAGAAAACAAAAATCTGCAAATAATCTCTTATTTATACAAATTTAAATTCAATTTCATACATATTTATGTATTTCATACTATTACCAACTTACTTTCTACTTATAAATTTATTCGAGCTAAGAAAAGCTTTGATTCACTCAATTATAACTAAGTCTGTTTGCAACAAAATTTGAATTTTACTATATCTGTCTACGGCGGTTCCCAGTCTAATAATCAGCAATAACTTTCCCACTATCATACACGCCTTTACTAATATTTAAGCAACAATATCTCAAATAATCCTTCTACGTTAGTTAAATGGATTTTTTTTTGAAAATAAGAGTATATTGTTTGAAAAAAAAACTATAACTATAGAATTAACAATTCTACCGCCATTACAGAATTGACACATATCAAAAGTACCCATACCTTTTTAAATATGCAAGTATAATTAAGCAAATTATAGAGCTGCATCATAACAATGTGTGCGTGTCGTATTATGTTAAATATATTATAAGCATATGAGTATACAGAATATTTAAACGACAACCCGTAAACTTTTCAACAACGTAAAATTTTGTACATTCTAACCGTAAGTCCGTTAAACGTTTCCAGTTTTACTAAAGAAACTATAATATAAAAATATTTTTATAATATTTTATAATACAAAAATAATTTACAGGAAGCTAGTGTACAAAATTCTTAAAACATAAAATTTAATAGATATTTTCTCACATTTTCATTTAAGTACCAATATTTTTTTAGCGAGTTAAATAATTCACAAAAAATAAACAAAGATATGTGCTAGGATACAAACTTGTGACTCAAATATTTTGATTGCCTTGATCAACACAAGTCATAAAAAGAATGGACTTACAGAAAACTTAAGATCTTTTACAAAAATATTCACATACAATAAAGTTTAATGTATACATTTTATAAAATTAAGAAATATATAATAAAAAATATAAAATTTATTTTATTTGAAAAATAAAATTACAAACTTAAAACTAGATATAAGAATAAAATGATTTTAAAAATAAAAATTAATTTATTAAATAAATTTGAAAAAAAACTTTTATAAAAATTAATAATAGTATGTAGTATTGTTGAAATAGTAATAACGTATTTACTTAAATTGAAAATTAAGCATAAAATTCACATCAAGTAAATACAGACAAACAGTGACTGATAAAACAAATACAATAAATGTAATCAAAAGAAGAAATCAGAGTTTTTTTCTTAATTCCAGAATTGTATTTCGTTTTTAAATAAAATATAAACTTAAAAAATTTGTGCAAAGTTTTGAATTTCTGATAACATTGAAAAACAAATAGCTATATTGTAATCAAATATTTTCTCAAAAACACAACTCAACTAGATATTTCACATAGTGTTGGGGAACTATCGATATTTTTAATAGTTGTGTAATATGAAAACGTACGAGTAGTATGTGAATGAATATAGTAGTATAATACATAGTGTATGTATATAACGTAGTATTCAATAATTATCATAAAAATAAATTTTGAAATAATAAAACACAAACTGATTTTCTTCAAATTTATAATTTTTGAGCGAATACAGTACCGAAGTACAAGTACTAAACGAAAAATCGAATCACTTGAACGTTTAAACTTGAACTCATTACTCAAACGTCAAAACTCAAAATTGTTATATTTCAATTTTGAGTTTTGACATGACTTTTACAAAATGTTTTTGTTTGTTGATTCCGAAGAGAGAATAAAAAGGATAGACTAGTCAATGACAGTTTCACGGAATATTCATACTGAGTGGGATGAAGAAATATAACCGAACAAAAAAAAATTTTAAATTTCATTAGCTGCAAAGCCGAAAACGGATAAAGACTGAAGTAGATACATTATTAATATATGTATACATAAATATTGTTCTTGAATTCATATAATTTTTATACGTTATACACGTTCTTGCCTTTCAAATTTCAATTTCAATAATTCTACAAAATTTATTTACCGATAGCATTATATCGATTTTAAAAACTTTGATGGTTTCGATATTTGAAAACTATCGAATTTATCGATAGTGCCATCGATAATTCTCCATCACTAAAATTTTTTTTAAAAGATAACACAATATTAGAATATTTTATTTAAAATGACTGCAAATATTTTTCTATGTAATATTTTATTAAAAGTTAATTTTATTTTAGTTTCATACAAAAAGATTTAAATATTATGTTTGTATGTAAAACTGATAAAATTTTGTAGAATTTATTGAACCGAAGCAGAAAAAGAGTAATTTTTTTAAAAAAAATTTAATTTATTACATAAAATTTGCAGATGCCAATTTGAAGAGACAATAGTTAAGGTACTTTTTTTACATATTAATCAATATTGCAGTTAGAAAAAACCATTGTAACTTTTAATGTTGTCAATAATGATATGTACATTTGTATTGCACATTTTATAATGCCAAAAAAGCAAATGTCACGGAATTAGTAATGTCAATTGTCTGTTATATTGTTAAAATTTTTATTTAATGAATTTTAGTTCTAGAAATATTCAAATTATGCAAAAGTTGTGTACGAAAACTGAAAAGTTTGTCTTTGCATAAACTATTGGTTGCCGATTAGTGACCGTCAGATGCAATTGTTGTCAAAAGGCACTTGATATTATCGATTACACCGTTTAAATGTATTTGACAGGCAATATAAGAATAAGATCATAGTTTATAATTTGTATAACTAAAATTTATGATTTTATTTAATATGAATTGATTTATTTTGATTAGTAAATATCTTTCAAATTTTGATTTGTACAAAACTTTGCATAATATTTTAGTTAAGAGAGCGAGCATAATGAACAAAGAAAATCAAAAACATTAAAATAAAATATACGATAATATAAAATGACATCAAATTCAATTGTATATGTAAAAGTTTTTTTTTTTATAAATTAAACTTACTTTCTATGTCGGCTTGCCCTAAAACAGGCACAATGACAAGAATAAATGGATCCATTGTCACCATCAATTGATTGTGATTCATGTCCTATATAACCGCTCAATATTGAGCCGTTTGCTGTTATAACATCACCTTCTAATTTAACAGCTACTTGTAAAGCCTGAAATAATTGAAATTTTAAATTAATATGTATACAATTTCTTTTATACCAATTAAATAATTCTATTTAATATTATTGTATTATACTTAAACTTTGATTACACATTTAATCAGACAATTTTCCATGAATCTATTTGATTTTTTTTTTAATTTTTATATCTAATATAAAATCTGTACAATTCTTTTAATAAATATTTATAATAGTTGATAAGTTAAAAAAAAAAAGAGCATTCACCTCCGGCGTCCATAATTTGGACTTGGTCATAAACTACAGGATTGCCGGAAAATAAAAACGAATAAATATTTAATTTTATGATGGGTTAAAATCTGGTTCTGCATTAAATAAAATTTTTAAATCATTTTTATTTTTATTTTTTTAATATTATTATTTAATTAAAAATATTTGATTTGTACTTAAACAAAGAGAAAAAAAAGTTTTATTTTAAGTATGTAGTATATTTTTTTAAAGGAAAGAATAACACAAAAAATTAATTATAGAAAATTCAAACCGAAGTGTTATTTTATAGAAGAAACCAAATAATCATATTGAATGAAAATATTTTGAATCGAGTCAAGTATAAATGAATGTAATATATTTGATATTTTTTTTTTTTCTTTAAATTTTGTTTTGTTATAAATATTGGATTGTGGTATATTTTTGGATTAATTGTTGTATTAATATCGTCATTTCCAAGCTGTAACATACAAATTTACATGATTTTGTACTTATCACTATATATGATTGTCCAAAATTACATGACAATCAGTTATATTTGAGATATTATGCAGTAACAGTTTAATTTAGACATTAGGCAAATAAACTGTAAATTACATGCAAAGCAATTTTTACAATTTTCAATTATTTGTACGCTATTGCATGAATATGACGATTTTTATATATATACGAGTAAAAGGAGTATAACAGTGAAAATACTAAAAAGCAAGGATATTTAATTAAAAAAGTAAAAGAAATAAAATAAAAAAAATTGTTTTGAGATCAGAATGTGCTCTGAAATACAATCAAATTAAGATTTATATAGAAAAAAAAATAATGATCGTATTTTCTGTACCAATCTGTTATATTTTTATGTGTTCGAAGGCAAGTATATATATACTTATATAACCATATATTTAGGTTTCCACATAAGTATATGTATTTATATTAATTAAAAACTATTGTTATTTTCGAATTAAAATTCAATTTATCATTATTAAGAATAATGTATATGATAATTGAAGAATTTTTATTGGTCATGTATTTAAATCACTTATCCCTAGATCGCTTATATTTAGAATTTCTATATAGCTAGGAGAATTTTAAGAAACTATTTGTAAATCATCTATAATTTTATGTTATTATGGTGCCCATCATTATTTCAGATAACAAGAAAACTTGAAACTTTTTCGTTGCAATTTACGTTCCATATTCTTATTATTGAAAAAAAAGGTTATATTTACAATTTTTTTGTTTCTTATTTAAACAACAAATGCACACTATTCTATAATTTTAACAACAAATCACAACAAATAACAACCATAATAAAAATATATTGTAATAATACTATTATTGCTTTTGATAATTACCTTTTTATTGTACCTATACAATTAAAAAAATTCAAAAATATTAGATTTTATTATAGGAACCTTATCGATGAGTTCATAATTCTTCAAATACTCGTACGCGTTAATTTTACTTATTAATATGTTATGCCACTCTATATATTGTCTTAAACCTCTGATATATAAGTTGTTTAGAACTTTCGAAATACTTAATTTCATTCAACGAACAAATAATTAAATATTTTATTTATTTTGTGCAAACATAAAAATGGAAAATGTAGTCGAATAAATTCATGATTTATAAAATTTGAACTTTAGATCCAATTTAGATGTATTTCAATATATCCCCCGATTACCACAAATTTGGCTCAAATTTATGAGAAATCTTAAAATTTACGAAAAAAATTACAAAAGCAATTTACCATTACATTTTTGCTTTTATAGAAATTCAATAGAGTTTACAGCGTCGAAGAAACAGATTCCGAAAAAAAATATTTTTCTAACTTTATGGGCTAATAACCCGAAAATGGATAAAATCCCACATTTTAAGATATCCATAAGCTGTTTGAAAGACCCCCAAGTTGTGTTATAGGAGAAAAATTGCATTGAAATTAAAAAACTGGTTTGAGATAAGATTTCGTTTTAAGTTCAATCGTCCAACCGAATGTTTAATTATATAGCTTTTAATGAAGAAGTGACTTTACTTTATAATATATTTATGTTAATGATTCGATTAATTCGATATACATAATATATTTTTGTTAATGATTCGATTTTATAAATTTTTTATAAAATACAAAATTTGTAGAATGTTATAGTTTTGAAGGCCTAATTGTTTGTTGAACTGTCTCTTATATTTAAATACTTTAATAAATATTTTAACATTTTTTTTAATTTATATAAATATTTCTATACACAAACATTTATAAAACTCCGTTGAACATTCATGCAACAGTAGTCGAAATCAACAATTAAACAAATTTTCACGATAATAAGGTTTTTTTTTAAGTACATAAAGATGTTAATTAAGGTAAGTAATTCCAGAAGTGTTAAATCTATTAAAAATTGTACATTTTTGAACGCGATTTTTTATCTTATGTTCACCTTTTTTTTGAATATTTTTGAATTAAATTATAGCTTTTTTTATTCATGCTTAAAACATAAAAAGCACAAAGCATTTGTATAACATGAACAATTTAACAAATAATCTAACGAAATATGTATGTATACATGTATCATACAGGTGTATATTATATAACATCACAATTTTAACATTTTAATGTTACGTGTTATCATATTTTTTATCTAGTTATCGATATTTATGTATATGTAAGTGTACAATAATTATGTTTTATTTTTCTGAGTTAGTTGAGATGTTTTTTTTAATTTTCAATATTTTCATTAAAAAATATAGTTCAGCATTTTTAGTGCAGTAAAAATTAATTTCATGAGAACAACTTTTTGAGAAATAGAAATGTGAAAGCCTTAATTTTTATTACATCGAATTTGCAACCACCAGTGTTATAATTTTTAAACATATTGGATATGGTGACCGATTTTTTACTTTCATAAAAAAATTCTTTTTTGAAATTCAACTTTGCTTTGTATGTTAAGCAAAATTCCGTTTTTAATTATTTTTCTACTATTATAGCTTGTATTAGAAGGTCTTATATTAGCTTATGTTAATTTAACATAATGTATACGTACTCTGAAACGAAATGGTTAATAAACTGAAAATTTTTCAAATATAATAAGAGCATTAACCATTAATATTAAACTATGTTATCAATTCTACATAACTGAATTATTTAATTCCCATTGTTCTAGATTTGGTTGTATTTAAAATACAGTATTAGAAAAAGCCTTTTATAAATCGTAATAGAAAACAGTTTTATTTCTTGTGATTTATCATCGAACTCTAAATTGAAACTATATTATTTTAATGAAATATTGAATTAGAACTATCAAAGATATTACCAAAAACTTTTGTATATAAATCATAATAACAATTTTCTAAAAATAAAGGAACGATTAAAAATAAAATAACATTTGGTGCACTAACTGAACAAGTAACAGAGAAACTGAAACAAAAATAAAACAGAAAAAAACATAGAAAACGGAAGTATAAACTAATAAAACAAAAATGGGTTGTAATACAAATTTAACTTTTTTTTTTTAATTTCAGTTTTAATAGTACACATTCGATTAAAATAAATATCCCATACCTGCATAGCTTGAGCTTCATCTCTTCTTTCATCTTCTGTATTCATAGTTACAAATCTAAGTACTAAAAGATTAAGGGATGCAGCAACAATAGCCAATCCAAATAATATAAATATGAGTGCAAACATTACATATTCTGGTTTTCTATTAAGAGCATTATCTTTTTGTAAAGCTACCATATCTCCAAATCCTAAAATATATAATTGTTTTATTATTTTTCTTAATTAATAAAAGGTCTACATAAAAATTTATTAAGATTATTAGTATTGTAATTGATAAAAAAAATTTACCTATTGTAGTAAGGGTTATAAAACAGTAATATACTGAATCAAAATAGCTCCAACCTTCAAATTTTGAAAAGGCTAAAGAAATATACAACAAATTATACACAAAAAATAAATATTATTAAATTAAATAATTATTAAAAATAATGAGATTAAAAAGTGAGTAAATATGTTAAAAATAAGGTAATTTATGCATGGGCAATAAAATAGGAAAGATTTATCAATTTTGAAATAGAATTTAAAAACTTTTGAAAAAATTTGTTGAGAACTGCAAAGATACCTACTATATTAAGTGCCTAATTCAATTGCCCAGTGAATAATTAATTTAAATTTTAACAAGTTTTTAAATTGTAGCAACAATAAAAATTGAAATACCTCGATTTAAAAAAAATAATTCTGAAACTAAATATTAACTTCTGATACTTACACATTATGTTTTTAATTTAAACGAAACAATAAGCGCCTCAGAGCAAGCTCAATTATAACGATAACAATGAACGATTTGATAAAGACGGTACGGATATATAAACTATAGATATGGTTACAATAATACCCGGATATATATTTATCCCGGATTATTATTTTCCATTCCTTTAATAATGCTGGCAAATAATAGTCTAGAATATCGACATATACAATCGAGCATTATATGTAACTGGGGTGCACATTTACATATAGTTTGGTCAGAATTTTTTGTTCATACCTTTCTTTTTTTTCGCGATTATCCTCTTCGAATTTACATATGTATATATTTTGCATATTATACACTAGAAGGGCTCACTTTTTTTTTAACGTTTAATTATCAAATATTTTTTTGCCCTTAAAAGTTTTGTGTTATTAAGTGAGTTTTAGTTAAGCCTTATACTCGTAAAATGTATGAAGAATTACGAAAACTTCATGTGGGAAAAATATGTTTATATGCGAATATTTATCGCAATTAAGCATGTTCTATTATTGTGTGTCATGCTATAATAAGTCTCCTAAGATCTATGTACATATATACATATATAAATTTGTTTCGCGATTTACAAAAACCAATAAAATAAATGAGCCATTTTTCATATGAAAAGTAGTTAAGATACATTTTTACGTATATGAGAGCAGTAATCGACCAATTTTCTTGAAATTTAATATATAAATTCGGAGTGTTAATACAATGAAACTATAAATTTTTTGAAAATATCAGGACTTGGAAAGCAAATTGAATTCCGATTTTACATTTTTTAGCATTTTTACAGAACGGATAGATGGAATTTCTTGAAATGTTATATTTGAGTCTGATTGTTATCGAAACTAACTTGCGAACGTTTCAGAGGATTGAGGTGGCACAAAGCGAAATTCTATTAAAAGCCAAATTTACGCTTTTCTAGGTATATTAGCTAAAAGCTTGCTAACTTACTTAAAATTGAAAGAAAGTATTCAAAATGCATTTTCTTAATCTTCTGTAACGCTTTCACTATCGATTATGTGCTGTTCACATCAGATTTTTTAGACGAATTGCGTAATGGGGTATTATTTGGAAATATTGAGATTTTGAGTATAAGGAATTCGAAATATCGAAACATAATGCAAGCATAAAAAAATAAAGAAAACTCATTTAAATTATATTTTTTATGACGTTATATTAATTACCTGCAGCACCACCAGCTATAGTTAAGGAGCTTAAGGTTGTCACGACACAAATTAAATCTAATTCGGAAGCTGTAGTTTCTTTACAGCTTAAAGATGTTTTTACCGTTTTTATCACAAAACTAAAATGAAAAAAGATTATATATAAATATATATATATACAGTGATTCAGAAAGCTATACAACCATTGGTTAGATAACCGAAAATGGTTAAAACTTTTGCTCCGGACTGGGTGCCGAGATCTCAAAGGTTTCCGAGTTCCAGGGGCTTTAACGAATTTTTATGAAATTTTTACATATCCAAGTTTTTTGGGTTATAACTTCAATTCTGAAAATTGGGAGCTTCAAATAAAGAGTTTTTGAAAGGCCTAGTAAAGGGCTTAAAATAAACATGTTGCTTGATTCTGTATTTTATGTACTTTCGGAATACCAAGCATTTTAACTTTATGGAAAATCAAATTTTTCCCTTGTTTATTTTTTCAGTTTTTTCTATCTGGATAATTTCGTAAGAAACTTCTTAAAACCTTTAAACTTTTTTTTATAAAATTTTCCCTAGCTGCTTAAGCTTTAATTTAAGTTCTCAAGCATTAAAAGTTTTTTTATGGTACGGAATAGCACAAAAACCATTTCTAAGTGAAGATTTTAATGGCCTTATTTTCACTATTTTTGATTTTTATTGATTCGCTCTAATTATCAACTATCATTAATTTTTTTTGACAAGAGTCACTCAAAAAGCTCTGAAAATTATAAACCATCTGAATTTTAATGTTTTTATTGAAATGTAACAAATAATTACAAAATTGAAACGAAATTTTATACAAACTTTTAATTTGAAAAACAAAAATTGATTTTAGAAAATTTAAAATTTTTAAAATGGAAAACTAAAATTTTGTATTACGAAAAACAAAAAAAAAATCTAGTAATCAAAAATTTTTTTTCGAAACTTTTCTTGGTAAAGAAAATTGATAGGTTTTTTATTTTTGCCAATTTTTATAAGAAATGGTACCTATATGGTTTGAAATTTTTAAATGCATTTTTCTCAGATTGGGTGCAATTTAAAAATTTGAAAAAAATATTTTCGGAATCTAGATACCATTTGGCATCTGACGTTATTAAAATTAACCAGCTGAAGCGAATTTTTAAAGACATGCCATACAAATTTTGGCATTTATTTTAATAAAAAAAAAAATTTTTTAATAGGAAAATTTAATTTTTTTACACAAAATGGAGTTTGTAAATGATATAGTAGGTACATTATGAATTTAATAAATAATTAATAAATAATTTAATGGAATTAATTAATTTTAAACAAATTTAGAGCGACTAAAGAGGTGTTCCAGTAAAACAATTAATTTAGAATATGCGATTGAATAGAAATAGATTTGAAAGAAGAAAAACACAAATTTTTGCCGAATTAGGTGGATTTCATAGGAAAATTTGGTGTTTTTCTGAGAAATTTATAAATTTTTTGAATAAGGAATTCTTATTTTTCCAAATTTTTTTGGTAAAGGAATATTAAATTGAATATAATTTTAATTTTATTAACATCCGGTTTAATTTTAATTGAATTTGTTGCCCAGAATATACATATGTGGTTTTTGTACTATATCCTCTGTACCATAAAAATTTTTTAATATTTGAGGGCTTAAATTAAAGTTTAAGCAGCTGGGGAAAGTTCTATAAAAAAATTTCAAGGTTTAAAAAATTTTCTTACGAAATTATCTAGTTAGAACAAACTGAAAAAATAAAAACAAGGTTAAAATTTGATTTTCCCTAAAGTTCAAATGATTGGCATTCCGAAGGTACATGAAATACAGAATCAAGCAGCCTGTCTATTTTAAGTCCTTTACTAGGCCTTTTGGAAACTCTTTGTTTAAAGTTCCTATCTTTTTCAGAATGGAAGTTATAATCCAAAAAAATTGGATAAGTAAAAATTTCGTAAAGATTCGTTAAAACCCTTGGAACTCGAAAACCCTTGAGATCTACCACCTAGTCCGGAATAAAAGTTTTACCCATTTTCGATCTTCTAACCAATGGTATATGTTGTTGTATAGCTTTCTGAATCATCCTGTATATACATATGTACATATGTATATAAATTCAATTAAATTAAACTATTATATTGTTTTGACATTAAATTATTTTCGACAATAATAGTTTTTTGTGTGCTGGTTTATAAGATTCGATTCTTGTTTACCTGCTCAGTCTATTCACTCTTTCTCCAATACTTTGAAACATCACAAGACCTAGAGGTATTCCAACCATAGCGTAACACATAGTAAATAATTTTCCACCAATTGTGCTTGGAGTTGAGTGGCCGTAGCCAATTGTTGTCAGTACTGTTGTTGCCTAAAAAAAGCATATAATATTTTTTCTTTATTTATTTTTATTTATATGAAAAATACAATACTTTTTTAATACAAATAATCATGTAAGTAGTTAATTAATTAATAGAGATCAGTTAATAATAGTAACTTTTCAACTAAAATTGTTAATTAATCGATAAACATTTTACTTCTAGCAGAATAAACAAACTGAAGATTGACCAAATTTTATTTTGGAAAAAATTTACAGAATCAATTAATTTTTAATTCTATGTAAAAAACTTATACTAAGAAACAAAAGCAGACAAAAAAAAATAAAAATTACGAAGCTTATTGTTCATCAGGAGCTAACGCCAAAGCTCCTACCAATCGATTATTTACAAATCTACAATTAGTCAAAACACGTTCGTATGAAGTTTCTACATTTTCAAAAATACTTTTTGCTTTTGCTTTATTATGCAATTTTCTTGTCGAATAGTACCAAGGTAAATTTAAGCACGTTTTAAGGATTTTATTTTGACATACTTGTAGTTTTTGCTTGTGGCATCTAGCCATACTATGACATACTGGTGAAGCATATAATAAGTATGATTGGAATTAGTACATATACTCTTAATTAGTACATTAGCTTTTTTAATTTTATTTGTAGTATTTATATTAAATTTTAATTTGGGATCCAAAAAAATACCAAGGTATTTGATACTGAAGCCCCAGTCAACTGGATTATTATCTAAAATTAAATACCTTTTTGGTAGATAAACCGTATTACGCCTTCTTGTAAAGTAGTTACATTGGGTTTTTTTTGTGTTAATTTTGATTTTCCACTTTGTGAAATAAGAGAGAACACTATAACTTCAGACTTAAATTCTAAACGTTAGAATAAATTTTAATTATAAAATATGTACATAATTCGAATCAGAAAATAATGAAACGTGTGCTTCATTAACAGCATCTTTAAAAATTAGATAAAGATCAAATAAAAAATATTCCGCTTACGCAAAAACAATGTTTTCTTAAAAACTCAATACTTACATAATAAAATGCACCCGTAAATTTCCATTGTTGTCCAGCCTTATGTGGCTCTGATTTTAACACAACCGTTTCCATAACCTTAAAATCTTCTGCTGATATATTATATTTTTTTATTATCATGTCTTCGATAGCTGCAAAAAAAAAATGAAAATGTGTAGTTGAGGAAAATATTTGATTTTCATTTGATCATTAATTTTTTTTTTGCGATAAAATAAAAAAAACTCATACATCCGCGAACACCGAAAACGTAGAATCATTCAAGTAGACAATAATTGTAACTATGCTGCACTTTTATAAGCAAAAATTATTTAAAATAGTCAATTTCAGCATACTAATTGCATTCATAGAGTTATTCAAGTAACTGCATAAATAACTTTACTTGAGCAAGATTTTTAAGGTTTAGCAAAACTCTAAAAATCAATCAGTGTTGGGTTAAGTATTTAAAGTGATAATGAATTTTTCGTTTTCATATATGTAAAAATATATAAAAGTATTTTATTCACCTTATTTAAACGAACGAACAATAAACTCCACAAAAGTTCTTATTTTTGAGTGCGTTTCATTGAATTTTATGTACACATAATATGAATCGTTTATTTGAAAGTGATCTAAATTACAAGCAAAATTAATGCCAGTAGTCTGAATTGAAACATACCCTAGAATCGCAATGAAGAGTAACGCAACGCTACCTCTACCCAAAAAAATTAAACTATAGAAAAAGTACTATATGAGCGTAAATTATATTTTTTTTTTTTTTTTTTTTTCATTTCATTTCATTTATTTCAAACCAAAGTAAAAATTTTACAATTCAATAGCTAATTATTTACTTAAAAATATATCTTAATAACTTACTATATAACTTAATATATCTTATTAACTTACTTAATATTCAGATTATACGCAACGCGAGCAAAACTCGTCAAAGGTAAAGGTTAAAAGATATTCGAATCGAACTATTTTATGTTAGTTATTTTACTTAGTCAAAAAAAATATTTTGTTAGAAATTTGTAACACAATTTTTTAGCAAGTTATGAATTGAACATTGACATTATTTTGCATTGCGTTAGCGTAGTTTGCATTGCATTGTGAACAAAGCATTATATAGTCCGTAGAACATAATTTTTACCTATCTCCCCCCTCTAAAAGTTATACAGTAGCCCCAAAACCCTAAAAAAGCCATTATTCAAATATTTACTGTAGATGAACCGTATGCATTTTTCAAATTTTACAAACACAGAAAAGCAGTGGGTTTCTTCTTCTATCGCGGCATACTGAACTTTAAAAAAACAAACTGGCGATTAAAACTTACCGTTATATAAAATCCGTTTTTTTTTTTTAATTTTTGATGTTGTTTTTCTTCTAGAGCCCAGGTTATGGGAGCCTGAAATTTAAGTAGCTTTTAGGCACTAACAAATAGTTCATTTCGTTAGAAGAAAATATTTTTCCATCTCCACCCCCTCTCAAGTTATCGCCTTTTGAAATTTATAAAATTTGAATTTTTGACGCCTTATATTACCGAAACCGCAGGCTTTTTCAAATTTCTATAAAGGCAGAAAGCTAACGGTAAATTACATGACATTAAAAAATATAATTATTTTTCTTAACTCACACAATTAACCCTTAAAATCGAGCATTACGTTAACCCCTCTTTAAATTAATTTTTGCTCTATTTCAAAAACTGCATAAATCGTTCATCCTAAATATATGCAATCCTAGAAATAGTTTCGTATATGAATGAAAATAATTTTAATAGTGTGGTAGGTACACAAAGATTGTTTTTCAAAGCAGTATTTTCACTTGTTGAAGGGAAAAGTGCTACAATACAAACCATTGGTTTGACCCAACTTTATTGCTAATAAATTTTGCTTCTTATTTGTAAATATGTACATATGTATTTTGTTAAGAAAAATATTATGTGCGATGTATGTACATGCGTATGATACATTTGTTTATATTTTTCGATTCTCGTATATTGTTTGAGTTAATTAAATGTAGACTTATTGTTAATTGTTATTATATGAGAAATTTCAAAACGTTTCTCGGACTCCTAAAATTGTTTTCTCGCACACTTTCGGGGGTGTCCGCACTGCTTACTCTTGCCGCACTTACAGAATCACTGCTATAAAACAATATAAGCATTTACTTATAAGTTTTTAATTGTTTTAAACCAAAACGCTGAACATTTCACAATTAACACCTATCTTTTAATTTTTTATAGTACGTTAACTCTATTAACCGAAAAAACTATACCGTTAACTTTATTTAGCATAAAGAGGACAAATAAGATAATATTCAAAAAGGATACCGGACAGATATTGAGCACCTAAAACAGATAGCATACATAAATATATCGAAGCTTTCACTATATATCTCGAAATATATAAGAATGTGTTTTTTTTTTTTGTTTACTTGTTAAAATTAGATTTCACTATTATATTGTACAAATACATAATATACTTATACAAATTACAAATTTTTGATAAATATTGTCATTACTATGCAACAGACAAACATACAGCAAATTTCATTTTTGAATTGAAGTAAAAGGTCTATAAAATTACTTTTCATCCAATAGAAATAAAAATAAATAAGCAAAATTTTAAAATTAAGGATAAAGGATAAAGGAATTTTAATTTTACGTCTTAACGTATGGATATACACATATACATAATGTTATATAGTTATACACATCTGCAATTTGTTACACATTAGAGTTTCATAAAAAATAAGCCTTTGAATTTTATTAATTATTTTTCCGAATTTTATATTTAAGGGATACCAGAACCCCTTTTTGTGACACGATTAAATGTTACAGACATGCAAATATAAATTTATAAAGTCATAATTAATTAATTTGAGAATTAATTTGAGTTGAAATTTTACTATAGTAATAAAAGATAAAAAAATATAGTAATAAAGTAAATTACGAGAACAATAAAAAACTTAAACGAAAATGAGTTGAATATCCAAGTACTTTGACTTTAAATTTAAAATTACGTTTACAAAAATTTATCATTTAGTTTTAAACGTTTTTAGAATTCAATTTTATTCAGAACTAATTTCGGTTATAAGAAAATCATTCTACCTTTTATTGAAAAACATAATGCCTCTAAGAGATAAGCCTTTCGAAAAGATAAAGTGGAACAGCAGTTTTGTTCTTGAATAGTACTATGATCAAACATTCCTACAAAGGCTAAACGTATGCGTCACGAGTAGTTTATAATCAATTTTGTACCTTATGATAATATTTAATTTTAAATTATTTCACAGTATACTAAATAGAACACAATAGAAGAATATGTACTTATGTAAACCAAAGGGTACACATAAGTACATACAGTTGCATTGTGTTCTATTTTTGACTTTAAGTTGAGAAAAATATGCAATTTATATTTTGCTATCAATATTAATTGTTTATTGTATTAATTGTATTTTGTAATATGAATATTCAATGGATTTTAGTTGCTTATCTATATTAAATCGTATAATAATTTATATGTAAAAATACTTACATACATATGTTGTCAATAAAAAAAAAGAATTCGTACCAAAAATACAAATTTACTTTAAAATATAACAGATATATTTACGTAATTCACTTCTTAATACAATTTGATCAAAAATCTTTGTGCATTATTGCATATATATAGGAGATATTTAATATTATTTTAAAACATGAAGGGCTGATGAGCTGAATTCGATTAGTAGTTAAAATTCAATTAGAATATTTACAATAGTTTTCAAAAATTTGGTTTTTCTGTTCTATTAAAATGAAAAGGAAAAGGGAAAAAGAAAGGAGGATTTGTTTTTGTACAAAATATTCATTGGTATTTTTAAATTATTAAAATTCTCACTTCCTTTTTGCTTATGCATCTTTATAGATTACAGGAGAAATTGTATAGAGGAGAGAGGTGAAGGTGCGATAAATGAAAACTTTGTTCTAGAAAAATAAGTTTCTCTCATATAGTTTTGTCTGTTTCAGATTTTTGTCTTCCTATGATAAGAACAAAATAAGATCTGTAATTTTTATTATCAATTGTGAAATCAAATTTTCGTCAATTGTGAACTATATCAAATTTTTGTTTGATTTAATAATCTTTCTTTTTTCAAATAATATACAGTGACAGAATAATTAATTTCTAAATAAAATACTTAGTTGATACAGAATTTTCCTCAAATTATATAATATCGAAACCTACAAATGACAAGCATTCTATTTTTTCACCCTATAACTAGTGTAATATGAGAAATATGTATACTATTGGCAATAATTTGAAATACAACATTTTATAATTTTGCAAGAATCTTTGATCCTCTGAAATTATAAATAAACATGAGAGCTTCGCTCTTTTAGTTTCAGAGTATCAAACTGATTGACATATCCGTTTACCTAAGAAATTTAAGAATTTTTAAGTTTCTTAAACTCTATATTGTTTTTTGAGTACTATTCATTTATAGGGAAAATTCTCTACAAGTGAACAGTTATAGTATATAGAATATTACGTTGCTAATTAAGGAACGTATATTTGTTAATTTTGTATTTGTATATAGATATCAATCCTTGCAAACGTACACAAGGCCTTCTTAGTAAAAAGGAAATTAATGAAAAAAAATCCATTTATATGTTAAAAAAAGAACATTTTTGTTAGAAGATTATAAATTAATCACTCACTGTAAACATTCTCTCGAAGTGTCGATAATTAACTGTAATAATAAAAATATTTTATCTGATTTACTCGTAAATACTTAATAAGATAATATGGGGTATAGATCTATTGAGTATTATAACATTCTCCGTAATTTTTACTGTACAAGTAATAAATTTTTAATTTATTCGACTCAAAATCCTTGCTACTTCTGTTGAATTAAACCTATATGTTCCTTTAATATTATTCACTTTTCCCTTTTTTATATGCAATTTCATATTTCACATTTAATTTATATCTACATACATAACGTATAACTACTTATCTTCCCTATAGAATAATTTTAGAAATTTTAACAATAAGAGATTTTGTACCACATACCCACTTCTAAATTTTTATGCCAATGTAAAGAAAATATTTTCAAGTCTTTTATCTATTGTTTTATTTAAAAAACAAAGCAAAAAAACAAAAAGTCAAATTACACA